TCTCCCTATTCTGCCAAAGTAATAATCAATCTTTTATTGTTTCTATTGCATGGACTTTTCTCTTTCCAGTTAATATTAGATAAAGCAAATTTAAATGGATATAAATGTTTACATGAGAACTTGTATTTAAAACTTCAAATTATTTGTGAATTCATTTAATAATTCTCATTACATAAAATGTATTCTGCAGTCACTGATATTAACAATCACTTAGGTGCTTGTATTACAGCGCCCAGGTCAGGGAATTTATTAAAGACAATGGAGCAGCCCCAACCCCTGTGGCTCAGTTGGTTGAGCGTAGTCCCACAAAGCAAAAGGTTGAGGGTTTGATTCCCGTCGGGTCACATGCCTGGGTTCCAGCTTTGGTCCCTGGCTTTGGTCCCTGGCTAGGAGAGTATGAAAGGCAACTGACTGGTGTTTCTCTCTCACATCAATGTTTCTCACCCTCACTTTCTCCCACCCTTCCCATCTCTTTAAAAAGAAATCAATAAAATCTTAAAGAAAATAGAGCAAACTGTAATTCAAACTGGAAAAGTTTAGTATATCTTCCAGGCAGACAGAGAGATATATCTATCTGTTTTGAGATAGAGAGATATAAGCCTGCCTTGCTATATACTGTCCAATAAACAAGCACTTATCAGATAATGCCTGGTAGCAAAGTTAAAATAAAATTACTTTTCCAAGGATTTCCTAACTTCCAAGGATCAGACACATAGATAAAGTCAGGGGTTGTGTCCACTGTTTTTTTCTAGTCACATAAATTACGTTTAATTTGTAAAACTTGATTACTGCTTTGCCCTCTTATGTAGGTTTTGAAAGCAGTCCTCTTAAATTGAATAATTTGTTATTTCTTGAAGTAAGAGGTCAGTGTGTTGCTTATGACTTGCTTACTGCAGAAACCATCTGAGTCACTAGATAAGAGGTAAAATGCTGACCCATTTCTAATTACATACACAGCCACTGAAATGAAAATAGAAAAAAACTTCTTTCTTGTCTCTTATACCTGGGTTTGAATCTGGGCTCCATCACCCTTTCCTTGCCAGGCACACCATTCCGTGGGTTAAATTATCCTGCGGACAAAGATGTGGGTGATGATGGCATGAGCGACCTCAAGCCAGTGCCGGGATGCAGGGCACCTGACTGGAATGCCATATACCCCACTTGACCTGGCCCCAAATTTTGTGAGAGAAAAAAGATGACAATAAAAAGTCTCTTTCCAAATTAAGTGATTTCTCATGAGGTAAAAATCAACCTAGGTAAAGGATTTACAACTCTAAAAAATTTTAACAACAGATACTCAGCAAATAAAGGATTTAAATATCAACCTTATATTAATTCCATTCAAAGGGAGAATAATATATAACCTGAACTCTGTACTCAGCGAAGAAATTTGGAAACACTTTTACCCATCTTCACAAGTCCATAAAAGCCACGACACCAGATTCTTAATAGGCAAACTAGCTTTTAAAAGGTTACTAGTGAACAGAAGGATATGGTGGACAACTGATACATCATAGCATTTTAAAATGTTAATTTTTAAAAACTCTTCAAACCCTCTATCTTTTGGTATTCTATATAATGAGTACTTAAAGAACGGACCTCAGCAATAAAGTTCTCTTTAAACATACTCATTGAACTAGGATATTTATTCTCAATTACTATTGAACTCTACATACATCACATTTACATACATGTGATTACAAAATATTTCTATTACAGGCTTGTGATTTTAGGTTTACCTCCTGTTTTTGAGTGACTTGTCTTTATTAATGATCTAATTCATTCAATCTTTTCTATTCTGTTGGCAAAAATATAAATAAGTTTGCACTGATATGCCAGGATGACCTAAGTGTGAATGGTTATATCATTTTGTCTTAGGGCTATTTACTGGTAATACTTTCTCTGGCACTACCTGTGTTATTTGTGTATGAGTAACCCAACTTGGCACAATGCTGAAAACCTCAAACCCCAAACATAATACGCTGTTCTCATTAGGAAGCCATCATTCTGTCAAAGTTACATTCTGTGTTATCTCTTTCATAGCAGTAGTTTCCAAGGTTCTATTGTATTCATTAAAAGCCAGCATCATTCTTTAAATTGAATATAGCGATACATGAGGACACCTAGCTTGAATAATAGAAGTTGAATTGCTTCATGGTATATAAATGATGTTGGATCAGGCTGTAGTCTAATATTTTCCACTTGTAAGAGTGGTCAGCATTCACTAACTTCTCTTCCACTGTTCCTCACTCAAACCTCTGCGCCTCACCCGTGTCTCCTGCTCCGCTGAAATTGTTCAGTGAAAGGTCACAGATAACTTTTGGTCATTCTTCTCATTGGATCACTATGATACCTTTCCAAGTGTTCTCCCTGCCACACACCTAGTCCTTTCTCTTCCAACCTCACATTATCCCCTTTTCTAAAATTCCAACCAGTCCCATGATTGAAACTTTTTCAGGATAAAAATCCAAACTTCCTAACATGATACTGGATTTACCAATGATTCACCATTTGCCAAAATCAGAACCCCATTCATCCTGTTTGAAGGATATGACATCCTGTTCCATCTTGAATGGCTTGACAGTATACTACTGTGACTATCCTACTTCTCTGGCTGGTCCTCTTGTTCTCTGCCAGCCTCCCTTCTCCCTGGCATTTCTCTGGGTCTTGTGCTTACAGCCCTTTTCCTGTAGACCTCAGCATTTCCTTAGTCATCATGTCTGTAGGAGAGGCTCCCAAATTCATAGCCAAAAAGGCTCCAGATCCCCCTATTTCCAGGGTCTTTGCACCATTTTTACATGGCTATTTCATCAACAGCTCAAACTATGCTCAAAGCAGGCTCATTCTCTTCCCCCCAAAATGGGTCCTTCTATTTTGCCCTGTAATGATTCCAGAATTCTCCGTTGATTTAACATCCCCAAATCATTTTACAATTTCTTATCTCTCTTGACATTCAAGATTATCTCTACTCCTCCTATGCCTTTTCCCTCCCATCCTTTCTGAATCCCTTAGTATTCTTAACTGCTTTAAGAGTCTCCTTCACTTTTTCTCTCTTGCAGACTTTCTATTTTCAATCCCACTGATGCCAAAGTAACCTTTTAAAAACAACCTTGAGTATAACATGACCCTGCTTAATGGTTCCAGAATAAAGTCTAAGCTCTGATCCCTTGTTTATCTCACTCTAACCTACCTTTTCAATCTCATTTGCAGCCTTGCCCCTATGTTGGAACCCAAAAGTCCACTCCCAGCTCTTGATGGAATATCAGCTCTCAAAATCACTTGTTTCCCATGTCTGGAACTTCTCTCAAAATCTATCTCTACCTTTTGTCAGCAGCCTATCACTTAGTTGTAGCATTTCCTCCTTCCACTAGGTTCCAAGCATTTTATCTATTTATCTGTTAACAATTTAGTTATTTTGTGTCATTGTCTTATTTCTCCTTCCAAATTGTAAGCAAGATTTCAAGTGGTTGTATTCATTTCTTGCCTTCATACCTCCCTCCACCAGGGGGTCTAGTAAAGTTCTGTGCTTATAAATATTCTGAGTTAAAAGGAATTTTTTAAATGAAAGAGAAAGCCAAGACAACGGAGAAAATATAGAAAAGCAAAATCAGGAACAGGGTCAACAGCTCCTAATTTCAACCGAATATTTTCATCCAAGAGCCCACATTTCAGGGTTGCTACCTTTCCACTCCAAAAGGCTCTCTTCCTTTCCATTTGATTTATTCATCAAGCACTGTGTGACTTACAAAGTAAACAGATGGTGGGGAAGAGCAAAAGAAAGAGCTCAGGGTCTTAATCTCAAAAACCTTAATTTTGGAGGGCTGTGTCAATACGTATTTCACTTTGTGTGGCTGAGTCTGAGTTGCATGCAAGGCATAACCATGCTAGGACTCTGGATTTCTGTTCACTAGTGTGAAGACATTTTAAAAGGTGAGAATAAATTAAAAGCTATGTAGGTCGTCCTAGGTCTGCCAGTTTAAAAAAAAAGTTTGTTAAGGAGTAGTAACATTAAAATGACCCCGAAAACAAGACGTGAGGATTGTAGCAATATGAGCTTGAGGTTGTAACATCAGCGATCCCCTCTCCAACACTGGTTCTTTATTAATAAGGGCTGGGTCTGACTGCACCAACACCTTTTTTAACAAATTGATTTATAGAGGGAGAGGGAGGGGGTAGGGAGCAAGGAAGGGGGACAGACATTGGTTTATAGTTCCACTTATTTATGCATTCATTGGTTGCTCCTGGCTCTGCCCTGACGGGATCAAACAGTAATCTTGGCGTCTGAGAGGACGCCCTAACAGACTGAGCAACCGGTCCAGGGCTGCACCAACACCTTTAGAAATCCAGACATAAAAGCCACACCCCCTTTTGCAAGTTAGGAGCACTGGCAACCTTTTTACGCGGCCACTGGCCTCTGCGAACACTTAACACTCGCCCGCCGACTGGTCCTGGCCTTTAAGGGACTGGCTTCCAGGAAGGAGCCCTACAGCCATCGCGGGCAGGAGCCTCACCTTGGGAGGGCAGTTCCCAAGCGTTGCCTGCTAAACTCCCACAACGAGAAGTGCTCTCGAGAGGGGACGCTCCGGCGATGGCCTTCACAGGCCTCCCTCTTAAACCCTCGCCAGGCAGTACACGCTTACCGCAGCCCTCTGGCCCACAACTGCCTTCGGCGCAGGAAAGCCCTTGCCCGCGGCGACCTAGCGCTAAGGCTAAGCGCACTATGGGAACGTCGCGCCCCTCCCCCCTCCCCCAACTCCGCCCACCCTCTTCGGCGCAGCAAGCCTCGCTCCGGCCTACAACCTTTGGACAGTGGGAGGTCAGCACCAGCACCGCTTGGTCGCCTTGCCCTGTTCCCTTTAGCTCCCTTCGCTTTACCCCTTTCCCCTTCCGCCCCTGCCTTCTTCCCAGACTCAAGCCGGACTCCGCCCCTCTCGCGCGGCTGCCGGACCGGCTGTGACGTCAAAGGCCACGCCCTTTATTATAAATACTGGCGACGTCCGCACCGCCCTCTCACACTCTGGCTCTTCGCATCGCTGCAGGGCTCTTTTTCTGCCTTCTCTGCCTCTTATCCTTTCTAGCTCTTCTGCTCTGTGGTGTGACGAGACCGAATCCTGTCCCCACCCAGCCCTCACCTTTCTTGTATACCCGCGCTGCTTTTCTATTTCTCTCCTTCGGCCGCCGCCGCCACTGCTGCACAGCTGGTGTCGGTGCCGCGCTTTTCCCTCAACGTCGTCCCCGCAGCTTATGGCCCAGGCCGCCTTGGGTATTTCTGCTCAAGGTAACCACATCCCTCTTTAAAAATTCCGCCGAAAAAGAGAAGACGCTTTACCCGACTCTTTGGGCCGTTATCTCACGTGAGTACCTATCCGAGGGATGCGGGCGGGGTCGGGGCGTAGAGCCGGCTTTGGGGGACGGCCGGGTGCCTTCCGGCTGGGCCCTGTCGCCCGGCCGGCGTCCCCGCGGCGCCCCGCGGCCCGCCGCCTCGAACATGGCGGACGTTACTGTGTGTGGCGGCTATCGGTGCCGCCGTGGCGACCGCGGGTGCGCCTAGTGGCTCGCAGGTTGTAGCCCGTGCTCGACGGAGCCCGAGCCGCCGTGGTTGGGGCGAGGGGGCGTGTGCTTGTGGCAGCGCGCGCTAGGGGTCTCGCTGCTGGGGGCCGGCCGAGCCTCCGGCAGAGTGAGGCCCCCACCTCTCTCCCGTGGTGCATTGCTGTTTCCGGGGAGGGGGCCGGGCAGCTGCCCCGAGGGGCCTTGGTCCCGCGGCCGGGACCCTGAGCGGCTCGGCGCCTTCGCCTTCGGGCGCCTGGCGGGTGGCGCGACAGACTGCAACGGCCGGGGCCTTGGGTTATGAATGGAGCGGGGCGGGCCCGGCGCCGGCCTTCTGTGACAGCTGCTGGAGGAGGACGGGTGCTGCGAGTGCGACCGCCGCCTCTGATGGAGGAAAGTTGACGCCACGCGGGGCCGGCGGCGGGGAAGCCCCGGTGTCAGGTAGCGAGTGAGAGAGGCCTTTGGCCCCTTCTGGAAGCCTCAGGGTTGCTGCTCCGCCCTCTGCGGCGCTCTTGATTGGGTGAAGTCCCCTTCACTCACTCTAGTCACCTCCTGGAGCCTGTAGATTAGTCACCATGGCTTCCTGTTCCCGTCCGCGCCACGATTCCTGGGCAGGGTAGGCTTGGGTAGTTTATCAAGTGCTAGTTAGTTCGACTGTCGAGAGTTAGTAGTGGTGACGTGTTTTAACTCTTTACCCAGCTGGTTCAGAAACCTGAAAAGACTGGTGCACAGTATATAGCCCCATGATGTTTCTGCAGGTTTAACTGGGTTTGGGGGTGACATCTTGGGTAAGTTAAAATATTTTTCTGCCCTGGCCATATTCCACCGTTAGGCTCCTAACTTGGGTGGGGGAAGCTGAGGACACTTAAGGGAGAGAAAGTTGGCTCTGGTCGGGAAAGGTTTCTGCCAGTGAGCCTGGCAGAAACGGGGCTATAAGGATTTTCGGGCAGGGCCGAATAATCCTTAATTTTTTCTACAAATACAATAGTGACCAGATGCTGGTCATGAAGATAAATAAGCCCTGTATGATAGATAGGCTTCTAATGACTTCGGGTCGTATGGTAAGTGCAATAGTTAAGTAATCAGTACCTTCTTACACTCCAGGTTTAAATTTACACGTTTTCAAACATACAGAGAAAGGAAAGGAATTGTACCCTCACCTAGATTAACATTTTGCTTTGCCATCCCACTGTCCATTCATCAGTCCATGTTATGGACTGAAACATGTTCGTGTATTTCAAAGTAAGTTGGGTTTCCCTAAACACTTCACCCTCCAACTTCAGTATGTACATATCATTAAGTAGGTTTAATGCTGTTTATTATTCTTTTTTAAAAACTTTGGGTAAAATTCATGTGAAAGTTAAATATACAAATCTTAAGTAATAATACTGTTTGACGAACTTTGGCAAAAATACAACTGTGTAATCCAAACCCGTCAAGAGGTGAAACATTGTGATCACCCCAGAGAGCTCTCGGCTTTTCATACTTCATTCCCTTCTCACCACAGAGCAATCATGATTCTTTAAAAAACAATTTTTTTAACAGTAGATTAGTTTTGTTTATTCTAGAACTTGCATACAAATGGAATTACACCATATTTATTGTTTTATAGAACAGTTGCAAAGATAGTGCAGAAGGTGGTACTGTATATTTCTCACTCAGTTTGCCTAATTAATAACTTACATTACCTGGGACATTTGTCAATACTAGGAAACTGACTTTGATACATTACCGTTAACTGTACTCCATACTTTCTTTGGATTTCACTAGTTTTTAATGTCCTCTTTCTGTTCAGGATCCAATTCAGGGTAGCACATTGCATTTAGTTGTTATGATTTCCCAAATATCTCTGACATGTGACAATTTCTTAGTCTTTATTTTTTCATGTCTTTGACATTCTAGATATGTATTGGCCAGATATCCAGTAGAGTATCCCCCAATATGGGTTTCAATGATTAGACTGGGGTTTGGGGGGTTTTGGATAGAATACCATAGAGCAACCCTAAAAGTCATTGGTAAAGGCAGTGTGAGTTGTTCAGAGAAATACTGGTAATTTGGGGATACTAGGTTTTTGGGTAGTTTCTGTCTAGTTCTTCCTGTGCACCAAGGCGAAGAGACAGTCTCTTCGAACAGTTGTTAAGAAACTTGAATGCAGTGTTGTACATGATCCAACTGATTTACACATACTGTTCTAAATCAGAATAATTTATCTTCCTATAACTCCTTTTCTGCACATTTTATTTAACCTCTCATGGTTTGTGTTAACTGCAAATAAACATTCTACTCTGTATGTAAAGACCCTCTTACCCTACACTACCCTATTTATTATTTCTCTTAACTTGTACCTTTCAAATTTTAGGGCTTTCGTTTTCTGCTTGTATCTTTTAGTTACATGGAAATGTAGAGATCATGCTGAATAACGTTCTTGAATGTTTGAAGTTTAATGTTTTTAACATTTCACGGTAGTGCTCTTGGGTTGCAGTAAGCAGCAAGATATCTGGCAATATAGCAGGGAAGAGATGTCTCCAGCATGAGTCTTTCGATTTATTTTTAAAGTTGTCCTGGTGGGGGAAGAATCAGAACCTTTGTTTAGGAGTACGTTCTTTGGAGTCTACCATAAGGTTATAATTACCGTTACGTGCTGGTATCTTGCCTCATCATCCAATAGTGTCATTGAGAGTGTGAACAGACCCTGGGAGATTAAAAGAACATTTTATCTCCTACAAAGGTGGCCATCGTGGTTGAAATGAGATATGCTTTAGATATGCCTGCTGTGCTTCTGAAATCTCTGGTTCTTGCCCTTAAAATTTCTAGTTTAATTATTTTTCTGGTTTCTTATCCTTTTTCTAGCAAATGCTATCAAATTATATTTAAAATAACAACCACTGAATTACGAATAGAAGTACACATAGGTATAGCAGTTTACTTAGAGATATATGTCATCCTATCAAACCATAGTAAATAATAAGCATCTCTAAAACTTAGCATGTTCTAGTGGGCCAAGTACATTCACATTCATTTGTTGTTCTCATTAAGTAGAGGGACTTAAGTCTAGAGGGGTTCAGTATAAGGAAGTAAACTTTGAAGGTCACTTGCTCAGTAAATAATACAGTTCTCAAAAGTTGTTTCACATTTATACATAATGTATTAGCTAAGTCATAAAATGTTTAGATCTTTTTGGTATATAGTAGGATTTTGAACTTTAAGCAAAGAAAAACTTGGAATTGGGAGAGTAAAAGAAGTGTTCTTGGTAGTTCCAGATTATAGACTATGTTAGAATATTGTACATACTAATATTGCATACACATAGCAGGCTGATAGTTGATGAGGGTGCTGAAAATTTTTAAATTTTAGGACATAGAAATTTAAGTTTTGGAGGACAAATAAAAGTCGAAACTGAGTAGGTTATGTGACTTTTGTACTATAGCAACTTGGAAATGTTTACTATGTTAAAAAAAAAAGTACTATGCTAAACCCTTTGAAGACATTTTGTGTAATGTGACATTTAAAACTTATTCTTACATTTAATCTGTATGTCAGTTTAACTTGCATGAAGCACAGCCTAACATTTTTTAAACAGTATTATTTACTTTTATTTCCTTCTTTAGGGCGAACTTTCTGACCAAGTATACAACTACCCAGAGGGCCTAGGAGAAGTGCTGTATAGAGAGCAGTTCGACTTCAACGCTGAGCCACCTTGGGAACCTAGCTGATGATAGGGGGGTTCCATCTCCTAACTTGTCCATGTAAGTATTTTTACATTTGTGCAGGGACCTTGTAAAATTGAAGTAAAGAAGAGTTCTTGTAACCCAGTCTTTTTCAAAACTTGGATTTACCTCTTAAAATATAGTGACCACTTAAGACTCTTCTTAAAAACTTCTAAAGTAGAAGTTTAACATTAGAGGTAATGTAAGGTGTAGGCAGTAGTTCATCACACCATTCAAATAAACCAAAAGATACTGTTCTCCATTCCACTCACTGCACCTAATCCCAGAGCATGAGATGTGAGGGGTGCATCTTAGTTCTTGTTTTTCTAGTTATGAGCATCTTACCAGACACAAAGTGATTTCTAGAGTGTATATTCTTTTTTTCATAAAATGACATCATATCAATACTCAGCTGGTAGGGAAGATCTGATTGTTTTTAGAAGACCTACTGAGGAATCATGTTTGTATACCTTCCAAACATATTTTTAGGGATAGTTTTGACTATACTTTTTTCTGTGTGCATTTGACTTTTGGATTAAATCTCTGTGAAAAATGTAATTTCATTTGAATTTGGGCTGCTGTATGTGTGATTCATTTTTAAGATTTATTATAGATTTCTTGCTACTTGAGAGTTGAGGTTTGGATGTGTTTTTTGTTGTTTTGTTTGTTTAATTATTGTTCAAGCACAGTTTTCTGTCTTTTACTCCCATCCCACCCCCCAAGTGCTCCCCACCTCCCTCCCATTTCCAACCCCCGTTGTTGTCAGTGTGTCCTTTATACTAGTTCCTGTGGGGTTTGGATGTTTTTAAGTTGGCCCAAGACTTAGAACACTTGAAATTTTTAGGAGAGGTTAGGGTATCAATTTAATGGTTTTATGGTCTGTCTTTATAAACACAGGCTATCAAAAGTATTTGCTTTATCAAATTAGCAGAATATGTTGAAGCAAATCTTTTCAACACATTTGATATTAACTTCAAATTACAATTTAAGAGTCAGGTTTTTTAAAGGTTCAAGAGAGACTTAGAACCAAGATAGACTTGGAGAGTTTTTCCATACTGGCTTTTTCCTAATTGTGTGAATTTGAGTAAATTGTTTATTTTGCAGCTGTGATTTTTATATAAAGTTCCTTTATTTTATGTAGAGTTCCTTTAGTCCTGAAACCATTAACTGATTTCTGTTTGAGTGTATTAACCACCTCCTTGTTAAAACAGTGTGATCTTTGGAACAACAGCATTAACATTGAAATAGAAATGCAGAATCTTGACCTTACTCAAACCTTGATCAGCTTCTGCATTTTATTTTATTTTTTAAATTCTAAGCACTAGGGGTATCTGGCACGAGCAGTCTGCTGTCGAGGTTTGAAAAGCAGCAGCCTTGGTAATCACCTGCAGTAGGAAGAAAGCCGGTGTGCCAACCATCTTCCTCCATGACCTTGAAATATTAGATGGACTTTCTCTTGATTTCAATTCTCACCTTTTTTTTTGTTTTGTTTTAAGATTTTAATTTATTTTTAGAGAGAGGGGAAGGGATGGAGAAAGACAAGGAGAGAAACATCAGCATGGGCTCCTCTTGCATGCCCCCCAACTGGGGACCTGGCCTGCAACCAAGGCATGGGCCCATCCTAGGAATCAAATGGGATCCCTTTGGTTTGGAGGCTGGGACTCAGTCCACTGAACCATACCAGCCAGGTAGAATCTGCATTTTAACCAAGCTGCATGTATGCATGATAAAGAGAAGCACTGTTGCCACCATCTCAGTATCAAGTCAGTTCCCTTAATTTTTGTTAATCATCTATTTCTAATATATTTGATATTTTTCCTCAGGTTGGTTTGGATATTTAAAACTTTTGTGTGGTTGGATCTAGTTGAAATTGTAGTCACGGATAGATTGAAAAGTGGAAATTTAAGAACAAGCGTCGGAAATTTAAGAACAAACAAACAAGCTTGTTTGTTTGTTTGTTTGTTTGTTTATGGGGGAGAGGGAGAGAAACATGAGTGTGTGGTTGCCTCTCTCATGCCCCTTACTGTGGACCTGGCCTGCAACCCAGGTATGTGCTTTGTCTGAGAATTGAACCTGTAACTTCCACTGGCTACTCAGTCCACTGAGCCACACCAGCCAGGGCAAGAATAATCTGCTTTTAGTTCTAATCTCTTGCTATAATGAAACTTAATAGTAATTATATGTATTCAACATTTCTGGTGATGTTTCCTCCCTTGAGAAACTGGTATCAATGAGTTGTGTGAATAAATGATTCTGCCAAGTCAGGGTGAAAGGAGTCTTTATTTAGAATGATTAATAACAATCTGTTCTCTGTCTTTGGGATGGGTGGTGTGGATGGATAGGCACAGATAGAGTATGATAAAGGTATTTATTATTCTGCAGGCTCTGTTAGCCAGAGTGACTGGCTTTTATGCCCAGGTACAATGTATGTTATGTTAAATAAAACCTGAATGCTTGATGCTGTGCTGTAAAGCGATAGTTCACAATCCCTCATTCATACAATTTTGAAATCCAAAAGTTAAGGAAAAACATTTTATAACTTCCTTAATATAACCTAAACTTATTTGGGAACAAAAACTTGACCTGAATCTGAGTTAATTGGAGGCCGTTTTTATCTTATTACCATGTGATGCTAATGTTTCTGATATTTTCTGCAGAAATACTGTGATTACAGGGAGTTGAATAATAGCCTGGAGAGTATTACATGATATATGAATTATATGTACTTTATTGCCATTCTAAAACCTGTGAAATTTTAAATTCAGAAAGATGTCTGGCTCCAAAGATTTCTTGACTAGAATTAGTAAAAATGGCAAGAGAAACTTTCACAGTCCAGTGATGTCCTTAGATATCTATAGCAGTTTGTTATACTGGATATTGAAATCCTGAGATGAAATTTTTATGGAGCAGCAACACTGGAAAACTGTAAGTTATTAAAGGCACTTAACACACTGGCCTTTATGGAAAATAATGGCACATAGCATTGCAGAATGTATAACTAAACTATATGACCTGTAATTGAACCATCTGATACTCCAGTATTCTTAATAGGATTTTTGTGCAGGTGGTCTAAGATCTAGGATTTGGCTTTAGAATTAGATTTTTAAATTAGATAACTGAATTTTAAGATAGTTCATTTCATTAAGTATCTGGAAACTGCAAGTTGCTTACATAATAAAGTTTTTCTTTTTCAAGACTTCTGTAGAATATGTGACCACTATAAAAATGCCTTGACAATATTTTAACACCAATAATGTCTCAGATTAATGGATTTCTAATTTCCCATTAGAAAAGGATTTCTGTTCTAATGGAAAAGTTTTTTCGTGCCTTTAAAATATGCTGGAATGGTTTCCCCCACTCAGTGGGCTAGATTTTCAAGTTGTTTTATAACTCTGATGATAATAAAGTAGCCTAATGGAAAAATTTTAAAGACTCATACAGAAAACAAAATTTTTTCCTAACCAGCTACTTCTATTAGCAGATGTGGTAGTGAAGTCAGATTGAATTAAGCATTAGTATATACTTTATGTGTTGTATCTAAGTATAGGATTCAATTAATTGATGTGTTCAGATGGATCTTAAAATTGTTTAAAATTTCTTCCCTGGTTGTCATTAGTCAATTCCGTATGTGTTTGTTCATGTAGAAATTTTGCATTAACACCAGCATTTTAAATATTCATAGTCTGTCTCATTTACATATACCTTAATAGGACTTGTCCAACCTAAATTGGTATTATTTTAACTAGGAAAATAAAATGTTCTTTATGAGTTTATTAGTGTGTTTCCTCTTGTATCACTGTCAGTTGTCAGTAGGAATGGCAAAATTTTGACTCATGAGAAAAAGAGGCTTTAGTTTTGGTAATTTAAAGATTCTGTTATGCATGCAAATTAAATAGCACAGTCATTAATTGTTGTTGGTGCTCATTGACCAAAGAGCTGAACAAAAATATTACCATCATTAAAATCGGGGACCAGTTTTTTAAAAATATGTGTATCCCCCTGGCATGCAGAAAGTAGTATTTGATGGTACTTTATTATTTGTGTAAAAGTAGGCAAGATCGTATGATTGCACCTTTAAGTGGAACCTAATCAACAAAACAAATAAGCAAGCAAAATATAACCAGAGACATTGAAATTAAGAGCAAATCTGATAGTAACCAGAGGGGAAGTGGGAGGGGATAATGGGGAGAACAAGGGAATGGTTTTCAGGAACTATAAAGGATAGGCACATGGGCAAAACCAAGTGGGAGCTGGGATGGGGGGGTGGAGATGGATGAGGGTAGGAGAATAGGGGGGAGAAATGCAGACAGTTGTACTTGAACAACAATAAAGAAATATTTAAAAAATGAAATAAGTCATTTCATTTGTTTGTTAAAAAGCAAAACAAAACAAAAAAAGTAGCCAAAATATATTCTGTACAAATACAGTGAATAAAATAGCATGTTAATGGATACAACAGGGTTTGAAAGACATGGAAATGTTTCTTTGGGCCAATTTAGAATCTTTCCTGGGAGAGCCAAAAATATTGAAAAGTAGTGCAGATCAGTTTTTAAAGGGGATAAAATGGTTCTTATGTTTATTACAGGAGATAGTTGAGCCTAGAGATTTAATACTGACTGTCAATCTGTGTGTCCACTACACTCTTCTTTGCCTGGTCTTATTTTACAGTTTTTGAGTTTGAAGTTTCCTCCCCCATCCAAAAAATATTTTTTTATTGAAACAATTTCAGTTAGTAAATGAAGGATTGTATAAACTGTACCTTGTAAACTGTGAAATCTAGGTAAATGGCAGGCTGCCATTCTTGGCTGTCCATTGTTAAGACAAGCCTAAAAAGACTATTTCCAATGAAGTGTTCTCACATACTAATAATAAGTCTTAGAAAACACAGATTTTTGTCCTTCACCTTCATTTCAGGGTCATCCATGCACACAAACTAACTAACAAAGATTTGGCCATTTCCACTCTAATCCAGTGTTAGCCATCTTTTTCTTTAATCCGGTGTATATGGTGAAGAACATTATGGCATACATAGAAAATACTTGTACAACATATAGAGTTGTAAGGATTAAGCTGATGAAGTTAGCCTGGCCATAGCATACCCAGCCGTCATGAGGTCTGTAACTCACCCACTTGCAGCAAGAGTCAAGGTAACAAACTCTTGGAATATTCTGGTCTAAAAATTTTTTGACATTTCAAATCTTTCATCAGGACTTAATTGCTATGGAGTTTTGTTACCTTTTGTTCCCTTACTATCTGGCTTTGTAAACTGGTGAATTGGTCTTTGTTACTGTAAGGAAAGTTGTTGAAGGTGAGTAATCTGTAGTGTGTATGGACTTGGTTCTTAGTTTAAAAATTTCTTATGAAAAACAGCATCTTCTAGCTTCGGCCAGTTGGCAAGAAAAGAGAAATCTTCTAGAACTGCTTTGTTCATTGCAGTAACAACTAGACAAGTGGCTATTTAAATTTAAAAAATTAAAACTAGATAAAATTTAAAATTCAGTTCCTCAGTTGTGCGAGCCACATTTTGAGTGGGAGCTATATGTGGGCTAATGGCTGTCATTTTGGATAGTGATACAATTTCAACTGCAGAAAGTTCTGTTGGACATCACTCTAAAATAATTGCTAATGTGAATGTGAGTGGTATTAACCATAATAATCTTAAAACATCTATTAAGAATCATAAGAATTACATACTCATTGTTCTTTCTCCTCAGATTTGTCTAATACAACAACTGCACCTAAAAAAACTAAGGATTTTTTGGTTTTCTATTCTATTTGATTCTTTAGTTGCCTGCATGTTCTTAGGGCACAACTTTCTACTAGGGCTTTATGTGCTCTTGCTGACTGAAATTAATACTAGCTTTGTGTTGACTCCGTGACTTTAGGTTATTTTGATCTATTTCTTGCTTCTTACTACAGGGATCCTCTGATCAGTTTATAAAGATCTCCTAAATAAGTATATCTTCTTAGCTCATCATCTAGGTTCAACATGAGCAGTATAACAAAACTCTCCAAATAAATAACCAATCCTCAAAATAAGAGATATTTGCTATCCTGAATTCATGAAGAAGAACTTTTATAGGTAAAAAGAAAAAAGCAAAAAACAACAAAAAGGCAACTAAGCAAAAGACTTGAAAAAACATTTTTCACTGACAACCTAGCAATTCTCCCAGGTTATATGGTCTTAGACACTGGTGCCTTGACCAGTGCTACTTAAACTGCCAGTTGGCAAGATAGACTCCTGTACCAGAATGTAAAATAGCATACTCACTGCTTGGTTCTTAACTTGTGGGTTAGCTAGTTTGCCAACCAGAGTTAGACTAGCACTGCCTTGGGTACATAAATAATAGGAAGAAATTACATAATAAGTAATGAATGTTTATATACAATATAACAAAAAATGGGGGAAGTAAGCTATAGGTTTAGTTTAGATAAATAAATGGTGTATCGATACAGTAAAATACTACACAACAATGAAAATTTATGAATTCCAGTCACATCAATTTACATGGTTGAATTAAAACTGTAAAGCTGAGCAGAAGTTAGTCATGGTAGATAAACAGTAATGATGTCATTTATAGTTTTAAACCAGTAAAGCCAATGTTTTGGGGCATATAGCAAAATAAAACTACTGAATAACCAGGGAATGAAGATTAGAAAAGTCTGAACATGTTTATTCTAGGGAAGATACAACCACTATCACCTGGGGAAACTAATTATAGGAGCTCTTAAGGGGTTCAGTCTATTTGTTAACTTTGGGTTTGTTGCAGTGCTTATATTGCACATATTCTAAGTTTTCCTCTTGGAGAGAGGACAGTTGGACCTGCTCTAAGGTAATCAAAATAGTAATTAAGTGCATTTGTTTACAGGGTTCTTCCCTATGCTGCACCAGGAAAGCTAGAAAGCTTGATATTAATATGGTTAGTGTATTTCCTGTTTGTGTTATGTGACAGTAGTTATCCTTAGTGTAACCACATCTTAATTACCAAAAGGGTTATTCCCTCTAGAAACAAATTTAATTTTCACATCAGTCAAGACACATTTTTTTAATAAATTTTTTAAAATAAATATTTTATTTATTTATTTTTAGAGAGAGGGGACGGGAAGGAGAAAAAGTAGGAGAGAAATATCAATGTGTGGTTGCCTCTCATGTGTCCCCTACTGGGGACCTGGCCTGCAACCCAGGGATGTGCCCTGACTGGGAATCGAACTGCGATCTTTTGCTTCACAGGCCCGCTCTCAATCCACTGAGCTACACCAGCCAAGGCAAGACACATTTTTTAAGGAAGTCTAATCTTGTCCATTCTACATGCAGAAGTATATTGTTATACAAATCCCATGTTTTTCTCATTGAAATGTATAGTTTTATTGTGAGGCATTTCATTAGGCAGCTTTACATAGGGACTTCAATCTTAGCCTGTTGAGCTCATTTCCTTTAGGGTTTTTATTTTCCCTTTAAGTATATTCTATTCATTCTTGTTCTTGTCTGTCTTTTAAAAATAATTCTTAAGCAGTCACCTTTAATGTTCTTCTTCTATGATTTCTCAGTTTTCAGTCTTATCACATGAAAAAACTTTTTTCAAGAGTTTATATTTATTTATTTTTAGAGGGAAAGGAGGGAGAGAAACATCAGTGTGCAAGAGATACACCCATCAGTTGCCTCTTGCATGCCCCCAACTGGGGACATGGCTTGCAACCCAGGCATGTGCTCTGACTGGGAATGGAACCAGTGACCTTTTGGTTTGCATACCGGCCCTCAATCTGCTGAGCCACACCAGCCAGGACTGAAAAATAACTTTTAAGAGTATTTATCACCATTACTGGCTTTCCTCTTAGGGTCAGTTGAAGCAAACCCTGCCCTGATTATTCTGAGTACTCATTGTAGGCTGTTGTTACTATCCATTTATTTTGGGTCCAGTATGGCCCAAGTTCATGTGGTCTTATGATTATCATAATTTATTGTAATGTCTTATATATCAGTTCCAGTATGTAGCTTCCTGGAACTACACTTTTTGCAGGTTTACCTGCTCCAAGCCTCAGATCTGTAGTGCCAAAGTCGTCCTTTACAAGTCTCTTCTAATTTTCTTACACCCAGTTATTTTAAAGGTACTCTGTGGTAAGTAACATTTTTCTTTCAGAGGTAGAATGCAAAGCTGACTTTGACAGCACTGTGTCTATTTTTAAAGCTGTGAGCTAAATTATCAAATACCAGTGTAATAAAAAATAAAGTAGAAGTATCCCTTAGCCTTCTTCAGAGTAATAGTAGCAGTGTAAATTTCCAAATATCTCAAAGCCTCATTTGTAATGAGTAAAGTCCTCTTTAGAAAAGTGGTTGATGTGTTAAGATTGGGTTTCCTATGTAGATGTCTCTGAAACAGTACTCTCTTCAACCTTCAGCTCTCCCTGTTCTACTTCCAGGGAGGTCTTCACTTCAGAAATCCAAGACTCATATTCATCCAGCCTGGTGTCAAGTGGGCTGTTGCTGCCAGAATTATCTTGTGATTATTTGAGAGATGTATCAGTTTCTTCTGAAGTACAATCAACTGTAGAAGCCTTTGTAGCAGGTGTGTAACAAGACAAGTGCCCAGCTGCTGCAGCCATTGCTCTAGGAGCCACCTTCTGCTGAACATGAGGACTCATCTGCCTCATGCAAGGCTCCAGGAGAGCAGTGTGCCATTCTTTGGAGCGTTTTCTTGGCAGCTCTTCATAAAAAATGTATTATCAAAAAACACCGATGTGGAGGTGTATATAAGGAATGTTAAACTTTTTTTTCTTCCAAACTACAATGTGTAAGGAAATTACTTATTATAAAAGTGGTATTGTGATTACAGCAGTCATATTAGTGTAAAATAAGATGAGCTTTTTCCCCCGTATATTGTATTGATAAGGTGTTTGGTTATGAAAATAGCTTTTAAAGACTTGTGAGAGAATACTTCCTAGTAGCTGCTGATAAAAATGAACTTTTATTAAAAATTAATTTGCTCTTAAGTTCTAAAGCATTTTGGAGAGAATATAAGATTTACACAGGGTAGATTTTCTTAGATTTAATGTAAATAAGTCAGTATCCACCAGCACCAGACTAGTATGTAGTGGTCCATAATGTATTGGAGCCAGTAAATCATTCTCATTTCTGACTTACAAACTATAAAAGTGGTGTAGTGTCTTTTGGGAATTTTACCCAGGATTGGAGCACTGGGGAATTTGACAGAAATTCCCTGTGGTGTTTAAAATTGAGGTGGATTAACTTGGCAGGTCTGGCATATGGTATAAATTCTACTTATCCCCCAACACACACACACTGAGTTTCAGTTTGGTTTTCTAGAACAGGCTTGTGTCACTTTTCTGGCTTAACATATCACCAGTGACTTTACATGCCCCTTGAAAACATTTTAGCAAAATATGTCTGCAGTACTTTTAAAGTAATGGAGAAATGAGGAACATAAATCATCTTTTGTGCAACAGTGGAGCTTTAAAATACTTTTGCCTAACACGTTAAGAAGCTTGCAGGGAAAGACTCCTGGAGGTATGATGAAGAACTGCCTTTTAGGACTCCTTCAGTGAAATGAAGGATAGGAAAGATTCAAGATAAGCCTGCCCATATCCAACTACTCACGCCTTTTCAGGTTTGCAAATATTGGGTTTCCAAGTGACATTTCATTTGAACAGACAGGGTTGTTGTCTCAAAAATGTATTGAAGCGCCCCTGGCAGGGTAGCTCAGTTGGTTAGAGCATCATTCTGATACACCAAGGTTTTAGGTTCGATCCCTGGTAAGAGCACATACAAGAATCAAAAATGTATTGAAACCCTCTCTCCTGAAGTTTTTGTATTTTGCAGATTCTTTTAAGGATTTCATTACAACTATGGGAATTTAGTCTGAGAAATGGTTAATTGATTATGGGCATATGAGAAAGCTCTATCAGAGAAACTTCGTGGTGCTAGAATTCTAAGCAAAGGAGTATGTACTGGGGAGGATTTCCTTTTATTTTGAACATAATTTAAGCTGTGGCTGGTGTGGCTTAGTGGGTTGAGCACTGGCCTGTAAACAGAAAGGTAGGCCCAGTCAGGACACATGCCTGGGTTGTCGGGGAGGGTCCCCAGTTGGTGGCCTGTAAGAGGCAACTGATTGATGTTTCTTTTTGCATTGATGTTTCTCTTCTTTTCCTCCCTCCTTTCCCCTCTCTCTAAAAAAATCAGTAAGATCTTTTTTAAAAAAGTAAAAGTGAACATAATTTGATCAGCGTCTCTAGAGCCAGCCTCTAATTAGTTGTTCTTCAGTGTCTTCAAATGTAAAATGGGGTTAATAACACGGTGGTTTTAAGGGTTAAGAGAATTGATACTGTTAAAATGATTTACTTAGAACATTTTTTTAGTACTGTAAAAAAATGTTTGCTGTTACATTTAAGCTGATTTAGCAGGCAATGATAGTTGAGTCTATAGATTTTGTAGTTTAAAAATAGTTGCGGGGGGGGAATTACCCCTATGACCATACTACTCTAGAAAAAGCTCTGAAGAATATGGGCATTCAGCCCATAAAACTGCGTAGAATGGGCCTGGTTTTTGTAAGTACCGAGGTCCTGATGTTACAGGAAAAGTACCCTTTCTGTAAGCATGATTGCTGTAAGAAATCGGGGTTCATCTTGTCCCGACTTTAAAAGCTAGACTTACTGAATTTAGAAGTCACAGAAACTGGGACATTAGGGTAAAGATCTTGATTAAGTTATTTTGCATCATTAATAGAATGAATGAAAGCTGTTTTGTGAGAAAGATTTGTGATACAATTTTACAGGAGGTTCCTACTGTGCTCTTTACACTTTGCATTGATCTTTTTGAATGAATAGCCTTTATATATTCTGTTTCTCTTAGTGCATAGTTAACTATCTCCCTGAAATTGATATTCCAGCTGGAGTTACATTGCTTAAAATAAACATGTATTCTCAAGCCTAAAATGTCTACTTTTGGGGCATGTATTTCTACCAGTCCTGATATAACAAGCTTCAGAGAATGTTTGGGCTACATTTGACTTTACTGCATAAGTATTAGGTCTCATGTGAATATGCCCTATTAACGTCTTTGGTAAAATAAAAATATAAATTATCTTCTACATTTCAGTTTCTACCATTTCAGAAAGATTTGATGACCTAAACTGAATGTAATTGACTTCTTGGGATGAAGTGCTTTAAAATTTAAAACTAAGTATTGTTTATATTATGAAATTTGACTAGTATCACAGTTTATTAATGGATTTCTTTCAGTGCAACCAAAAAGCTGACCTTTGGGAACCATTAAATGGAGTATGCTTCTAGGATGAGGGCCAGCACCTATGGTGAAAACTAGCATAGAATAGGGTTGGGGGGGCAAAAAGGAGTCAGACACAGGAAAGGCTGTGTGAATTTTAAATAGGTTGCCAAGAGTTGGTCTATGTCCATTGATAGTGTGGCAACCAGAAATCAGTACAAGATAATAATGAATAGTATTCTATCTGGAGCACTTATTTTGTTTATGGACTTAATGTTTTAGAAAAAAAAATCCTTGCCTAGCCTTGGCTGTTGCGGCTCAGTGGGCTGAGTGCCAGCCTGTGAACCAAAGGGTCGCTGGTTTGATTCCTAGTCAGGGCACATGACCTGGGTTGCAGGCCCAGTACCCAGTAGGGGGGCACTCAGGAGGCAACCACACATAGTCGTTTCGGTCCCTCTCTTTCTCCCTCCCTTCCCCTCTCTAAAAATAAATTTAATCTTTTTTTTTTTTTTTTAAATCCTTGCCTAAAGTAACCAGTGAATTCAGCAAAAAACTGAAACCTTTACTATGTCATTATATGCTGTCTCAGAGAATGGGTGGTCTGGGTTTTGGGAAAGGGTTCTTTGATTGATTGGAAAGGGATTGGATTTAGTCTGGCACCTTTTTAAAAAATCAAATCTTAGAAAATGGTTTAGGATGTACAGGTAACTTAGCTCATAACTCCGTTTTCAATTATGGCATTTTTGTGTTTCTACCATTGGCAACTTAATTCTACCTCTATTCTGAGCCAACACTTAAACAGGTATTTTTATTCATGTGCTATATGGTTTTCTTTTTTAATCACAACCTTTTGAGGAAGTATTAACTGAAGCTTAGAGAAATTGACCTAGGATTGTATAGCTACTAAATGACATGGCCAGGACCAGGTCTTCTGACCTCGAGTTCATGTTTTCACTAAATGAACTCACCACGTAAGAGACATACATTGCGAACTTGACCTAGTCAGTCTATAACAAAGCTATAGATTGTCCTCTTAAGTAACCCTCAACTCCCACTAATTTCTGTTTACTTTCATCCAGTTTAAAGTTTTATTTAGGAGACATTTATCTGAGTTACCTGGTAGTGCGCTATGATATCAGGCTGGCAATATATTGAAGCTTAGTACTTTAATTTTTGGTGGCAGATAATTAATTCACTAATTCACTAGCTTGCTTTACTTAAAATGAGTAAAATTATGTGTGTTACGGAAGAACTACAAAACAAGATGATGACTAATACAGACCTGGTCTGCAACTTTATGTAAACAAGGTGACCATATTGACTTGCAGTAAATTGTGCACATATGTGGATTATCTTCTCAAAAGTTGTATCATATTGAGCTTCCATTAAAACAGTACAAACACATTCACTTTAAAATTGGCACTAAAGGATATTCATGATCAAGTGTTTCAAAAAGTGTTGACTTATCACAGATTCCTCATTAAATCAGACTTAGCACACTTTCATTGACAACTAATGCATTGTTAACTAGTGAAATAATACATAGACTTTGAAATAACTTCTATTTTGACAGTTTGTTGCATATTCTAAGGACCCAGACATAAGGCTTGGTGGCCCGTCTCTTGTTTTTCCTGGTTTATGACTTTCGGCTTTGTGGAATACGGCTGAGATGAAAGGATTTATTGACGATGCAAACTACTTCGTTGGCCTGTTGGATGAAGGAACAAACCTTGGAAATGTTATTGATAACTATGTTAATGAACATACCCTGGTAAGTGTGTCCTCTTAACATTTTTCAGATTTCTGAATTCTAAAATGTCAATGCTTTATTTCCAAGATGTTAATCAAATAAAAGCACCTTGTTCAAATATTAACTTTTCCCTGTTGTCTTACATTCCCTATCCCCCTTGAGTAGTGATGAGGTTTTCTTTCCAGCCTACTTTTTATTTTTAAATGTTCTCTCTGACAGCCCTTTCTCTGCTGTGCCTTTTAGCACCTGACTCTTGTATATTTTTTCTTTTCTTTAAAAGATTTTATTTATTTATTTTTAGAGAGAAGGAGAAAGAGAGGAAATGTCAATGTGTGGTTACCCCTCCCATGCCCACAGCTGGGCACCTGGCCCGCAGCCCAGGCCTGTGCTCAATCTGCTGAGCTATACACCAACCAGGGCCTTTTTTTTTTCCTTTTTAATATGTTGTCAGCTGCCCTCCTCATCAGTACATGGCTTCTTACTCATTTTTCTCAAATATATGCTTTAGATCTTAATTTGTATTTCAGATCATCTTGCTGGGGTATGTTGACTGAGAATTTGATCATTTACATTGAAAGCTTACACTCTCTGTCCCACGGGTCACCTCCTGTAGAGTCATAGTCACTACTACTAAAGGTCATTTATTTTTGTTTTGTGCTTACTGATAGAATCATTTTTATTACTTTCCTGGTAGGATTTGTTTCTTTATTGGAGCTAATTTTCCATATTCCCCAAATCAGTTGAATTGTTTTCATATTACTAGTGTTCATTAATAGTATACCAAAAAAAAAAAAAATTCTCCTGGGGGTGGGGAAATGGAGAAAAACTAAACCAAAACCTATTCTGTTGACCTTTATAGATGTGATCACCTCCCCATACTCCAACACAGTTCCTTTATTTCTCTCTTACCCTGCTATCACAATTCTTGGGGAGAAAAAGTGGCAATTGTCATGCTGTTTAGTCTGTTCTACAGCCAAGACACTCATCGGTCCATTCTCTAATGGAACTCGGAACCTCCTCCTGGAAGTGTGCTGGCCTTTCTGTTAGTCACTGAACTTGTGCAACATTCTGCTTGGGTCAGATACGACCTTTGACACACTCCTTTCACCCACTCTTGTCCTGCAGTCTAAACTGTCCACACTTAATAAGACTGAGTGAGGATTAGGCCTCAACCCTGTTCTCTGCCAGTGTACTTGATTGTATGACTGAAGGGTGGTTTACAACGGAATGTTTCTTTTTCCTCTTGCTGGTACCCATAATAGCCTGATTTTTTTTTTTTACGTTAAAAGAAAAAATTTTTAGTCTTCAGAACATTAGAAATGCCATGTCTTGTAAGGATGGGGTCATTTCAGTACAGCTGTCCTGTATTGCCATACCTACCCCATAATTTCTAGTCATGTCTTGTTTCCTGGTCAGTATGTTCCAGTAGTATACATTTTCAAAAAACATGTTTGAAAAATTGAAAGCAGTAATAATGCCTTTTATGGCTTTAAAAACAATACTTGAATGTTGTATATTCCAAAGATTATATTGTCTACCAACCAACATTGAGTAATCTGTGCTCTGGCTGACATGCACAGTTACCCTTCTACCCCTAGAAGAGGCACAGCTTTTAAAATCATTGCAGCTCTTTCTCAAATCCCTAATAAGATCTCTTTTCCTTTTAAGGAAGAATACTTTTACTCAGGCTTATCTGATATTTAGTATACTTCTGAAATTATTAATTTTATTTTGCCTGTTTTTAAAGGAACATAGACTACCAACTTTGTCTCCTTAAAAATGGGTTCCCATTGTAGTTGCTCCCTTGTGTTACCATCTTGTCTCTAGGTACGATTTATAATGGAGATACAAAGCTTGTTTTGTTTAGCATTCTTGATTTTACTTGCTATGTTAGGAAACTAGATCCCAAACTGCTGAATTAGGTCTATTTTAAATGGTACCATGGAAGGCAGTGGGTGATCTCCTTCCCCTCTGTTCCTAAAAAAAAGTAAAATTGAGGCAATTCTGAAATAGAAAGTCACTATAATATCTTTTTTATCAAAATAGAGAATATTTAATATGCCATTGTAGAACAGCAAAAAGTCAAGTTTAAAACAATGTGTTGATAGTATTTGTAAGTAATATATTTTGGCTCATTTGTTATTTTCAGTGGTTTAATTGTTATTCTTTTTTTATAATCATAATAGACAGGGAAAAATGCATTTTTTGTGGGAGATCTTGGAAAGATTGTGAAGAAACACAGTCAGTGGCAGAGCATAGTGGCTCAAATAAAGCCATTCTACACGGTAAAGTGCAACTCCACTCCAGCTGTACTTGAGATTTTGGCGGCTCTTGGAACTGGATTTGCTTGTTCTAGTAAAGTAAGTATTTTTTCATTGAACTGCAACATTTGAAAATTCACTTTCTAACTTCTGGTTACCCTTCAAGGAAGGTCGACTGTAGGATGGGTTTTTATACTCTTGTTTAAATTTGCAGCCTAAGGTTGGAAATTGATAAAATTCAAGTGTACAAAGTTTCAGTGAAATGGGACTTTTAAAAGTTCTCTTTAACCAAAACCTTTTTATTCCTCCCTCTTAGGCTAGAGCTAGCTAGACCAAGTTATAAGCTTCTTCTGATGACAAGCAAAGTAAACCCTGAAATTTCTCTGATGGTAATTGTACCTTTCTAAAGGTTTTAACGCAGAATAGTATAGTAAGCATTACTAGAATATAAACTGACATGTAATCCTAATTTTACCTCATATAATTTGAATTTAACCAGAAAGTAAAAATAAAAGGTAGCAACTAAAAAGTAATAGAAATTTTGCCTTTTAGATGACGCTATTAAAAATCTATTTTTACAGACCGAAATTGCATTAGTGCAAGAATTGGGTGTATCTCCAGAAAACATCATTTACATAAGTCCTTGCAAGCAAGTGTCTCAGATAAAATATGCAGCAAAAGTTGGAGTGAACATCATGACGTGTGACAGTGAAGTCGAACTGAAGAAAATTGCACGCAATCACCCAAATGCTAAGTAAGTATAAAATTAAGTGCCTGGGTGTATTTTACTTGCTTAGGGTTTGGGTTTGTCTTTAGCCTGGGGAAAGGAGGCATTTGTGTAGAGCAGTGATGTGCATTGTAATTATTTTAGCTTATTTAAAATGCTGCTATCATTTTATTGGCTGCCTACTTCTGACCCTTCTTGTGGAGTGGGTATGCAATAAGGGCAGTTTGGAGTATGAATTTATAGCATTTAACTCCAAGAAGATGGGGTTGGTGGGATAATCAAATTAAGGCCACAGCTAATATTTTTATAACCACATAAACCCTGCTAGGAATCAGTCATTTGGGGAATAGGATGTATTTTGATTTTTCCTGCTTAGCTGAAGATGTGATCTGCCCTTGGCCATAGTTCTTGAATTGAATGGTTCTTAATAATTGGAGAAGTTTCTTTAAAGCCCATGCTTCTATTTGAACAGGAAATATAATTTTTTACTTGTTCCTGCATGCATCCCAAGATTGATTGTTTTTTTGTTTTTGTTTTTTTTTAAGATTTTATTTATTTTTAGAGAGAAGGGAGGGGAGGGGAGAGGACAGAGAAAGAGAGGGGGAGACACATCAGTGTGTGGTTGCCTCTCATGTGTCCCCTCATGGGGACCTGGCTTGCAACCCAGGCATGTGCCCCGACGTTGAATCGAACCAGCAACCCTCTGCTTCACAGGCCCGTGCTCAATCCACTGAGCTACACCAGCCAGGGCTGGATGGAGTGTTTTTCAAATTGAAATGTGAATGGAACATTCTTAATAGTGTCGATTCCTCCCATAGGTAGAATAATTTTGCTTTTATCAGATGAGCCCTCTCTTATCATCAGTCATTCACCAGGAAGACTTCCTTGGGGAAACAGCATTTTTTAAAAATATATTTGCAGTTTTTAGTGGTTTTGGAATTACCTGATGATCTCTTGATGGTTTTGTCTAGATTGTCATGGTTTGGAAGGAAATACTAAATAGATGGAATCAATAGTTCAACAGGCTTCTTTTTAGACACAGAATAACTCAACGCTTCCCAGAAGTGGGTGGAAGGTTTGCTGGCTGGCATAATTTAGGAAATTTGAAACATTTGAAGCCCTGATACTTTTTATTGAAAAACAGTGATGACATTGCTATTCAATTTAGTCTTTCTAGGTGGATTTATGGACTTCATTTGAAAGTAATGTCTTTCATTACAGAGCCCTACCTACCCTTGCTGCTACAACAGTCTTAACTTCCTGCATTTTCCAAATTCCATCCTCGTAAAGCTTCGTGCTTTAGGCCCTAATTGCTAGTTTTTTCTCTATACAGGATTGTTTTTCATTAGGTTCACTTGATTCATCCGCCGCTGGATTTGGGAGCACTGGCAACATAATGAAAACAGTTACTACAATCTTCAGGCTTCACATGTGCTGATGATGATGTAAACCAACTCTGCCCCAATCATCTTCCCCTTTTCTTAGGGTCTTACTACATATTGCAACAGAAGATAACATTGGAGGTGAAGAGGGTAACATGAAGTTTGGCACTACCCTGAAGAACTGTAGGCATATCTTGGAATGTGCTAAGGAACTTGATGTCCAAATTATTGGGGTCAAGTAAGTATTTGTTTTGAACTTCATTTTATGGTGATAATCTATGTCTTACTAAGATTATTGATTTAAGAACTCATAGAGTCAATTTCCAATTTTTGTATATATTTTTTCTAGCTTAGGAAAAATTAAATATGCTTTATCCTTCATATTATTTTGTGCCTGTATCTCTTCTCCCCTATTAAAGAGATAAATATGGTATTTATTTAAATCACCTTTTAAATGAATGGAGGGGGTTTACTGTGATTCTGATTACTGCCAAAATGGAGTTCATTTTGCAGCTTGTGGTTTTTTTTTTCCTTCTAATTTAAGACTTTTAATCCTTGGGCAGGGGGCACTTCAGTAATTCAGTAGACTTTGTTTCCCCTCTTGATAGTATATGTGGGGAAACAGACCCAGAGAGATGATTTAATCATAGTCTCAGAACTATGATCTCAGTCAAATTGAAGCATAAAGCTACAGATTTTCTGGGTTGTCAGCCCATTGCTACTCTCACTACAGTACAAGGTCTTGCTTTTTAAATTGTTCATAAAGATGGATAAAGATTCTCCACTATTAAATCACTACTTTAGGTGACAGTGCTGAAATATATTTTGAGTTTTCATATTTCTTTTTTCTTTTTAATATATTTTATTGATTATGCCATTACAGTTGTCCCATTTCCCCCCTTCATTCCCCTCCACTCTACACACCCCCTCCCCCACCATTCCCCCTCTTTAGTTTATGTCCATTTGTCACAAGTTCTTTAGCTTCTACATTTCCCACACTATTCTTCCCCTCCCCCCTGTCTATTTTTTACCTACCATCTATGCTACTTATTCTCTGTATCTTCTCCCCCCTTCTCCTCCTCCCATTCCCCTGTTGCTAACCCTCATGTGATCTCCAATTCTGTGGTTCCACTCCTGTTTTAGGTGTCTGCTTAGTTTGCTTTTGTTTTAGGTGTGGTTGTTAATAACTGAGTTTGCTGTCCTTTCACTGTTCATATTTCAACTGGATTTTTTTTTAAGTTAATGTAAAGGAAAATTGACTTCTGGGTATATACTATACATTTAAACAGATTTGTGTAACCACCGCCATAGTCAGGGTGTAGAATCTTACTTCACTTAAATTTAATCTCTTCTGAGTCTGTATCACTTAGTAAGTAATACTCAGCTGAACTGACGTTCATTTGTATTTCACAATTACATTTTTATATTTTGTCAGATAAAATTACACATTCAAATTCAAGGTTTTGTGACCCATTTTTATTGGTGGAGCTCGTTACTTTACCACATATACAAAAAGCATGCTCCCCCCAAGCCGATAGCCATAAGTCATGACTGGTAATTCATTGTAAAGTATTGTAATTTGATGGTTAGAGGCTAGTGTTTCTAATACTTGAAATATTTGGTAAGGTTAAGGTAATACTGTGTTATTGTGGTGGATGAGAATTGAAAGGAATTAATAGGAAGAGTCTCAAACTTGCTGTTGCTCTAAATTTACTATTTTATTTCTCTCAGATTCCATGTATCAAGTGCTTGTAAAGAATCTCAAGTATATGTACATGCTCTGTCCGATGCTCGATGTGTGTTTGACATGGCTGTAAGTTTTTTCCTATGTTTTGATATTTAAATCCAGGATGTTATTTAAGACTACAGTACTATATTTTTCTATCTGTGACATGCACCTTATTTTTTTACACTATAAGCATTGTTTCATACAGTCACATTTTTAAAGTGATTCAAAGGATTAAATAGTAATTTACCTGTCTACAAAACAGTACAGACAGCATCAGGCATCTAACATATATGACATTGAATTAACCTGCTTCTGTTAGAAACCAAAAAACTTGTTTATTGAAGGTCAGAGCAGATATTTACCCCTCTGGGAGGGGGGTTGCAAAATGTCCCTGTATTCGTTGCAATTTAGGAAAGCATTTAAAGTACTTTTTTTCATCTCTAGGGAGAATTTGGCTTCACAATGAACATCTTAGACATTGGTGGAGGCTTCACAGGAACTGAATTTCAATTGGAAGAGGTAAACTTTGTTCAGTGGATAGACATACTGGAATAATCTCTTATTTATTGCTACCTAAGTGGTAGCTGTGTAGAGTAGGATTTTTACAGTGGCAGGAACTAAAAGCCTGTAACATCTGTCTAAAATTTGATTCTGAGAAATAAGGCAGTGAGAAGACCTAGCTAACTTAGATAAGTTTAATAAATTTTTTAAAACTCAAGCATAACTTCCTCACAAAACAGTTTCTGTGTAGTTGTGCGCTTGTGGACCATGTGATGGTACAAGTGAGTTCACAACCTGGACACTAAAGTTCTTCTATCTAGACTTGTATCACTTCTTACTTTCCTGCTCTGCCCTCCTTTCCCCTTCTATAAAATCTAGAAACTGATTTGAAAGTTGCTCCTTTGTTAGACAGAAGCATTACTAATTAATCACCAGTAGGTATTTGCCATTCTGGTAAATTTTGATGGCTTATATAAAGCCTGCTTAATTGCACTGAAGATAACAGCTAAATAGCTAAGCTTCAGGGTCTGCAATTTGAATTATCGAATCCAATATTGAAACTATAATTTGGGATTTAAACTCCATAGGTTAATCATGTTATCAGCCCTTTGTTGGATGTCTACTTTCCTGAAGGATCTGGCATTAAGATAATTTCAGAACCTGGAAGCTATTACGTGTCTTCTGCATTTACACTTGCAGTTAATATCATTGCAAAGAAAGTTGTTGAAAGTGATAAATTTTCCTCTGGAGGTGAGTTTACAAAGTTCATAGTTTATTCCTGTTGGTAGATAATTCCAGCTATTTTGAAGATGGATTTATCAGGTACTAAAGTATAATTACACCGTAAGATAGTTTATGTATTATAAAATTGTGGATGGTCTTCAGCCAGTTAGTTATAGGCAGTTAGGGAGCTTTTTGAAGTGTCCTAGCCAAGGTCCATTCCATAGGACTCCCTGAATTCAGCTCTCTTGTGCTGATGTTTAGATTCGAATACTCTGTACACACTTCCCCTAGGCATTGATTCTCCTCCCTTGTTAAGAAGCAGAGTTTTATTATGCTATCTCTGCTATGTTTTTCTTAGTCACAGGAGCCACAGGGAGATACAGCCTCATACTTTCTTATTTAACAAAGGCCAACAGACTCCTTTTAATCTGCTCTATAGGCAAACCAACAAAAAAGCCCTATACAGTCCAGAAGTATCACTTTTTTAAAAATCTATAGAGAGTACTGTTCTACATTAAGGAGATTTATTTCTTCCTATAGTTTTGTTTTTTCCTTAAATGAGCAAGAGTAAGAGAGTACTTTTTACCTTTGAGCTTTTAAATTTCTTAAACATACCTGTATATCAAGAGCTGTGAGTATAATGTACCACAGGGTGCATTGTCCCTTTCCCAAGAGGGAGAAACCTAGCTCCCATTATCTCTCTGTCCCTCACTCACTAAAGCATAGAACACACAGAAAGTGTTTCCAGAATTGCTAACCCATATCACTACAAAACAGCAAACCATTTAACTAGACTCAGTATCTCTTTAGGGTTTTTGTTTTGGGTGTGTGTTACCCAAGTTTATATGTAGTGAGCACAATCTTAAGTATATAATTTGATAAGTTAATGAAGTCATATGGTGACATCCCTATCAAAATATAATTTTCATATCTTAGAATTATTTTCTCAGTTTTGTCCCCTTGCCAGACAGACAAAACACTCTTCTGATTATTTTCCCACATAGATTAGTTTGAACTGCCTTTGAACTTCATATAAATGGAATCAGCGTTTTTGTTTGTTTGTTTAAGAAAGCTCAATATATTTAGAGGAACTAGTATAAAGGACACGTGGACAACAGCTAAGGGGGGTGGAAATAGGGAGGTGGGGAGCACGGCAGGGGTGGGCTGGGATGGGAGTAAAAGACAGAAAACTACTTGAAAAATAATTAAATTAAAAAAAATCAAAAAAGAAAGCTCAGTATAATTTCTGATTGAACCATTTTGTTTCACGTTCATTGCTAATAGTCTGGATGTACAGTTTATATTCTCTTGCTAATGAATAGTTAGTTGTTTCAGTTTGGGGCTGTTAGAAATAAAACTTACTATTGAACAGGTCTTGTGGACACTTCTCATTTCTCTTGGGTAAATGACTAACAGTAGGATTGCTGGGTCACAGAACAGGTGTTTCAAAGACTTCAGTGTGGCGTTGCCATTTTACCCTCCCACAGGCAGTGTGTCTCTGCAGGTTCTGCTCGTTCCTCGTCTTCATTGATATTTTTCTTTTTTATATCTTGTCTTTTATCCATTCAGTAGGGGTGTGTGTGGTGGGGGTAGCTCACTGTAGTTTTATTGCCCATTTACCGGTGATGTGGAGCACTTAAACTTGGGTGTTCATTGGGTATCTTCCTTTGTGAAATGGAATATTTTTAGGCTCACAGGTTTACTTAAGATTTTTCAGTATATATTAGTGTGTTTGTTTTTTTTTAAGTTAAATGTTTTGAGATGTGAAAACTAGGAGTCAGTTCTATAAATTTTCAGTGTATTTGATAGGCTTTGCATAATAACTATATTAGGCATTTTACTATCAGTTTATCTGAATTTTTCTCTTTATTTTAGCAGAAAAAACCGGAAGTGATGAACCAGCCTTCGTGTACTATATGAATGATGGTGTTTACGGTTCTTTTGCAAGTAAACTGTCTGAGGATTTAAATACCATTCCAGAGGTTCACAAGGCAAGTTCTGTTACAAATAATATCAAGCCTGCTTATTTGGCAGTTTATAAACTGAGCTTTTATTTTTAAGATGCCTCCCAATTTTTGGAGAAAGAATACAGATTTGCATTCCTCTGGCTTTTTAGTCTAGTCCCTTTAGTTTGTTGCCTGACATGCAGTTAGGAAGTAGCACCACTGCCCCTGGCTCTAGCCCTGCCTTCCATGGGTGGGCACACTGGGTCTGAGATAGTGGAAAAAAATCTCTTACCTGTCCTCAGATTCAGTACTGACACGAATAAAACTTTTCCTCACCTACAGAAATACAAGGACGATGAGCCTCTGTTTACAAGCAGCCTTTGGGGTCCATCCTGTGATGAGCTTGATCAAATTGTGGAAAACTGTCTTCTTCCTGAGCTGAATGTGGGAGATTGGCTTATCTTTGATAACATGGGAGCAGATTCTTTCCGCGAACCATCTGCTTTTAATGATTTTCAGAGGCCAGCTATTTATTACATGATGTCATTCAGCGATTGGTAAGGTGTTTTTATTTTAAAACAGATTAGGTATTTGAGATGACAGAATGTTAATTTTAATTTTGTAATGAATGCATAACTTACTAGTAGCAAAATGTTCACTTTTTAAGGGTCATTGAAAGATATTTTAAAGTCCCATTTCATTGTGTGGCCTTTGTGCATAAATGCAGAATTATGCTTTTTTTTAAATGTAGGTATGAGATGCAAGATGCTGGAATTACTGCAGACACAATGATGAAGAACTTCTTCTTTGTGCCTTCTTGCATTCAGCTGAGCCAAGAAGTCAGCTTTTCCACTGAAGCTTAAACAGGCATTAACGCTTCTTTAGATCTGAAGTTGCAAGTTAAGCTTGTCTGGTCTTACATTCCAGTGTGGGGGAAATTAAAACAATTTTATTCTGTTAATTCTCTTGGAAACAAACTGTTAGTTATAGCTATTTGGGACCAGACAAAATCAGCATTCATCTATAATTCATTGGGAATTAATTGGGAGATTTAGATAATGTATCCAGATTTAAACTTAACAGTTTGCTGTGCCCCTTAAGCGTTTAAAATATGCAACAAAATGGATGACTTAGTGGAGATGGAAGCCCATTAATTGGGTTCCCCATTAAATCGTTTACATACAAGTACACAGTTTTTATACTAAGGATTCGTGTTTAAAAGTCTTGTAAAGTTAACGTCTTTCACCCAGATATAGCAAATGTCAGTGGAAGACCAGTGTGACTTCATTAGATATGTTTAGTGTATTTAGAATGTGTAAATTTGTGCTTTGAACTGTAGTTTAATAAATGTAAAATTGCATCATAGTATTTGTTGTATTTGACCTAATGTAACCCTTGTATGATTGCAATAAAATTTTGTGTAGATTTTACTGTTTTTTTTTTCCAGGCTAAAACTTTGGGAAAGGGGCTAGCTAGCAAAGGTAGTTTTGAAATAGATGTGTATATGGACTGTTCTGAAGGTTATTTTTCTTTATAGCCCACTTAAATTTAGTTTGCTTCAGCATACCTTTTCAGTTATTTAATTAGTAATTTAAATAAAATGTTTGGTAAATCATTGTGAAGTTCAGATGCATCATGGAGAGTCAATGTGCAGTAAGCATGATGTTTAACAATTTTAACACCAAAAATGTTAGTCCTGCATAAACCAAGTGTAATAATAGGTGTTTCTGTATAGGTAGAATGCATAGAATACCTTAGTAAATCTTTGAATCACAAATCTTTTGGCTGAGATGGACAATTCTATTAAATATACTTTCAGTATCTTGGGGGAGGGAAATAAATAGCAGAAAACTCTGCAGCACAAACTTAAAGAAGGGCTACATCTATATCCAGAAATCTGATGCTCTTTTGCACGAACTATTATTTAAATTCAGAGTTTGGGTGGGGGATACACCTATTTCCAATTTCTCGATTGCAGTATTTCAGACTTCAAGGTGTTTTGTTACTTAGCTAATCGCTTAGTTTCTGCTTTCCCATTTGTTCAAGTTAGTGATTGCTTTTAATTCTTTTCATACTAAAACTTTATGGTGACTGGGGGGAGGGAGATAGTGTCACTAACCTGACAGTTGTTGCCAGGAGTTTGTGTTGTTCACTGCTAGTATATTAGCAATCCTAGGTCTCAGAATCACAATCCTAATAAACACCAGGGGTCATTTTTTTTCCTAACTTACTCTATGTTCAGATGTGGAATTTCTGTCTCCCAAGAGGAAATGTGACTTCACTTTGGTGCCAATGGACAGAAAATTCTACCTGTGCTACATAGGAGAAGTTTGGAATGCACTTAATAGCTGGTTTTTACACCTTGATTTCAAGGTGGGAAGAAATTGATCATGAATCTCTTAATAAATTTCAATCTCTTAAACCAGTAGGTGCTTAATATTTTTTGATTTGATTAATGCCCATTTGAATTGTATGGGTTCTACTAATAAAAAAAAAATTAGGGCCCCAGTCCATGGTCATCTTATACCTTGGACTTTACCAAGGTATAATACGGGGTTTTATGCAAAATTCCAAGCTACCATGCAACTTTTTTTTAACTGTAATAAGGAGGAGGAATTGTTCCCAACCTTCTTTACCTGTTGTGCTTTGGTCCAGAAATGCCAGATCTTTTAAAAAATGGTACAGTTTTGAGTCTTTAGCTTGACTATACAGCTTTGAGCTTCATGGCATGTCCATGTTGCCATGTTCATAGGAGATCTGTGTATAAGCAGCTCAGAACTGCAAAATCACACATGTAACTTTAAGAAATGTCTGTATTGTATTTGAGAACTGTTTGCCATAAATCTGAGGTTTGAACTTAATGTATTTCAATTTGTATGCTAAAAAAGTACTGAATTAATGTAACAATCTTTATAATTTACAATATTGTAAACTCAGTTCCGAATTTAACTGAATATAAAACCCGAATGATTTCTATATAGTAAATTGAACTGTAAAGGTAACTTGTATGTGATTCTGAATACACAGATAAAATGTTTTTTATTCCTCACATTTTATTTTGATGGCTTCTATTATGAAAGAAAGTTGAAGTTTCATGTGTCAGCTTTGTGTATAGCTTTCTAACGAGCATTCTTTCAGAATTTTTATTGCAGAGCAACAAGTTAAATTTGGTAAAAGGATTCTGGACATTATATATGGAACAATGAAGGTTTTATATGTAAGCACTAAAATATTTTTAGGGCCATGTTTTCTAGGCACATCAACTCACCAGCCTCCAAACAAACTTAAAACTTAGACAAAATGAAATAATCTATTAATTGCACTAGATATTCCACATAAATGTGGGCATTGATAACCACTTAGTGCAAATATTGGGTTGAAAAGTCACTGAGCAATCTTTTTTTTTTTTGCCTTGTGATACTCATTTCCTTACTGTAGTTGGTAGCAACTTGACCAACACTGTAATAAAGAATGCCTAATTGGCTTGAAAGTATGAAATAGGACAAAAACCATTTAACTCAATAGTCTTCCATGTTCAAGTTGTGAAAAAATCCCACAAATACTTTTAATTCTGTCCATCCTGAAGGCAGAATAGACATATAATATTTAAAGGTGCAGACTTTAATAATGGCCTTCCTCTGGTCTTCAGTGGCCAACTTTAAAGCTGTGTGTTGATTGCAAAGTAAATTACTCCTAAAATTTCTGGAGCTTTTTTCTGCTGGGACTGGAATCAAATTGAGTCACGGATCATTTAGGCTGAACATTTTCCTGGCTTTTTGTGATTGCTAATTCGGGACAGGGAAAGTTAGGAAAGCATTGTAAGTTAAAGCTAACCTGCAAAGTAGCAGTCCCTACTCTTAAATGTACTGAGGAATTTCGTGTTTCTTTTGCTTAACTACAGATTGTGGGTGCTACGTGTATCTTCTTAATCATAGCACATACCTTTACCCAGAAAGAAGTATGTGTAAGGGAACATGAAACCACTTCAGGTTCAAGGCCCTCTGACCTGTTACGCAGTTGAAGGATTTGGGTTTTTATCTATTGGAAACTTAGGGCTGGGCCAACTTGAATGGCAGTGAATAGGAAGGCTCCATCTACGCAGTTGCTCTTTTTGTGTGTTGTCTCGGACTTTGGCTTCCAAAGAAATTCTGCTGTTAACGGTTTTTTCAAATTTTGACTCTATCATAAATACTACTTATACCTGCTAACAACTTTTGCAGTTGATGGCTTAGTAAATTATCAGTTGGATCAACTATGGGCAATTGGTAAGTTAAGAATCTGCAGTTGAAGTGTTGTGCATTGACAATAGAGCAAAGAGGATTACATTAGAATACAAAAGATAACTGCAGTAAACTAATGGGATCTTACTCTAATTAAATGTACTCAGTTCCAGTTGTAGCTTTTCCCAAATAACACTGCCAGACTCCGTCTAGTGTGAGCCAGTGCCCACAGCCTGGTCACCACTGTTTTTAGCAGCAGTGTGCAGAGGAGGGGACTCTTGGCTAACAGGAATTTTAATTCTCTATTATTTCATTGATATCCTCCCATCTATTATTTTCTGTTTCTCAAATTACTAAGCTTTCTCAGCTCCATATTCCAAGTCTGTTTTTCACTTCTACAACATAGTTCCCAAGCTAAGGGTGTAGTAGCTTTCATCTCTCAGAATACTCATTTTTTAGACATTCCCTCTCCTCACCCACCCCCCAAGGTCTAGATAGTGTTTTCTCCAAATTGATATTTCCTGGTGTTTTTTGTTTGTTTTATTGCCCTGTATCATTTGTGATTTAGAGGTATTCCTCAGGTGTCTGGTAAGCCTTGTGTCTGAACTGAGGACCGAAGAGCTAATTAGTAATAAAGCTGTGATTACAGTTTGTCAGCTGAAACTGTGCTCTGTCCTGGTGCATTTGTTGGGGAGCCTCTTTCTCTTTTGAAGTCTGCCAAGTCTCAATGCATTAGCTTCATGTGTCTTGCTTGCAGGGTGATGGGTTATCTGCCAGTGTTCAGAAGTCAGATGAGGGTGTTCAGAAGTCAGGCTCCAGTGGGCTGTATACAGTGTACAGTAGGACAGTCCTGCCCCCAGGGGTGCCTAGAGGCCACCATCCAGAGGCCTGTTGAGCCTCTCTAGACAATGACTGCCCAATCTTGCGAACGAGAGGGCTCTTCCCCAGCTGTGCAGCATAGGAATGAGGATCCAGGATTTCAATGTCCGCATATTAACTGCCTTTGCCAGAGGTCAGGGCTCTGGTCCCTGCGTCTTTTAGAATTTGAGCTTTTAAATTTTTCCCCACTGCCTTCTTGGAACTCTGTTTCCTCCAGCTGTTGAGTAATTTCCAGTTTACAGCTTCCGTTTTTCATCTCTCCCAATCTACCATTGTGTTTTGCCCTTATAAGAATAGATACACGTTTACCGTTGTTACTGTGCTGTTTGATACATTAACCACGTGCATAAACCCTGGTGTGAAGATTAAAAGACCTTTCAGATTTGGGGGACTAAACTATCTCCATCTGCCTCGTGGAACCTAATTTGAGAGGAGTTTTTTAAAGATACTCTGGTATCCGGAGTATAAAAAGTTTTGAGTTTGCACAAGGAGTAGCATATGACAACATCCTAATATTTGACTTGAATCTCATGAATTATCGGTACAATTATACCAACAGTCCTTTACCATAGTGACATACTATGGTGTAGAGCTTTAATTTCTGCATTTATCTAACACTGTTCTTTTTAAGCTTCATGAGTGGCATGCTTGTGAGTTGTAACTTATGCAATACTTAGCACACACACTGAGCTTTTGTTGCTGCAAACTAATGGTAAGGCGCTTGCGTTTCAGGGCTGAGTCCCACAGCGTTAGGTACTTCCTGTCAATGACTTAAACCTACCTCTAAGATATTCTGCTTACTGTTCTCAGCAGAAACAAATCATTTTCAAAGTTAGGTTTCCTCCTTTTCTAAATTCTACAAAAATGTAAATAACACAAAGCTTGCTGGGAGAGGAAAGAGAACTTGAGTGATTCCCAAAATAAAGGCATCATTTAGGAATGTTTCTGAAGAACGGGTTTAGCTAATACACCTTCATGTTGCCCCGGTTAGAACTGAGTTTAGAGTATTTTTGTAATGTATTTATTTATTTTAGTTGTTTGGCTTAGAGTGTTTTAGACTGATGGAAAGGTCAGGGAAGGGCATGAACATGTAGAGCTGAACATAGGGGAAATCCACATTCAGAAGGAAAAGCTTACTTCTCAAATGGCGTGATGCTACTGCCCCCTCCCTTTTAAATACAGTAAGTTTCGCTGACTTGGGATCTGCTCTCCTGAAAGTCACACGGGTGAAATGCCTGTTGCACAGTGGCCTTCTGAGCAAAACACTGAGCTTTGTCAGTGCAACATTACAGTATCGAGGGAACCAAACAGTACAGTTTTACACATCAAGTGCATAGACGTAGTGTAACATTATCGCCCTGCTGGGAGGCGAGTTGAAGAGGACATCAGTAAAGGGTCATACTCAGGCCTTCACTATCAGTAACCCCACTGTCGAATGTCAGCAATTTGATGGCAACAGAGCAAAGAAGCAAAAACAAATGTAGACATTGGAACTGAATGCCTCCCCTTCAGCTAC